ACACACACACACACACACATCACTACTGAAAGTAGTAGCCGCGCGGAAAATTTTGAGCGACTGTTTCGATGGCAAATTGGTATAGGCTCATTTCGGCAAGACCAACATTGTCGTTGGCTTGTCAGCAACATTCGATGGAGATAGCAATCGCCAGTCCTGCTAACGAGTGTTTGCTGTTGGCGCACGTTACCACTCAAAAAACTTCCGAGTGCCTACATCTCCTACAGGTAGCGAATAAGACGAGTGTTCAGTTCGTCTTAACGACCGGGAAGTCCTTACGGTCAGAGCAGCTAAGGCTGGTTCCTTATTGAGCACTAACTGCAATATTTGGGCAATTTTCACGGATTTCGGTCTGATTGTTTCATAAGCGGATCCAGGACGGGCTTCTGGGGGAGGGGGACAACAGGTGAGAGCCTCCTTCCGCCCTGGAACTATGCAAGAACTAGGAATAAGGTTGTAACAGTACTACTGCTTAGAGTTGTTTTAGGCTAGCTTTAGACCTGGGCTTTCGTAGCACTGGTGCTTCTGCGAGTGGTGAAAGAGGAGAGGGGAGGGTAAAAGACCTCTCCCTCTTGGATCCGACAGTAGATTGTTTTTGTTCTGATTTGAGAATTGCTGTTCTTTTCCCGCAACACTAACTGTTAAGTGATGGAGTCCTGATGTGACACGGTACTTGTTGTGCCTCTGCGTGAGCGTGCTAACTCATCACACATCCGCCGTCCCCTTCACTGATATATCCAAAATAAATTAGTTACGTCCAGCAACAAAATCTGCAATCCAACCCTTTCGCTGCAGTGATAACCGGCACGCCACTCTTGCAACGGAACTGCGCTCATACGTTTTTGCATTTTCGAAATAAAACGAATGAAATGGCAAAAGATTGCACTTCGAATACAAGAATCGGCTTTCAGGAAGCAAAATTCCTACATACAACCGTCTAGAAAACGGCGGAAGGTAGTCAGTACAGGACGCAGTACTCTTTACCGAAGTTTACGAACAGTCGACAAATGCAAGCCTGCCTTACCCGCATGGAACTTTTCATCCGCTTAATTTTCTTCGTTTCATCTCTCGCCCATGTTTGCGTTTTTGCATGGCATGGCCGTAGTGTCAAACACCATTTATGCTGAAATTGGTTCCTACCATCCAAATTTTCTAAATGCCACTTCTGAGTGTTTTTCATTAAATTATCAAAATTCAACTGTGTCCCCTCCACGGTGGGCAGCAATGCTAAACCAACTGCGTATGTTAACACGATTTCAAACTCTCTTTCCTCTTCCATTCTCCTGATCGCGGATATTCACTGTTCATATCTCTAAAATTTCTATAACACTTAGCCAGACCGCGCGAGCGAAGATAGGGGTCGAAAATAGGGCGGGCTTCAAGAAAGGGGTGAAGGGAGTGCCCCTGTGGGTTCTTCATGCCCAACCTGAAACTTGATGCCTAGGAAAAGTGAACAGTGTTGAACGCGATATCCAAGAATTTTGTCTAGGCAAAAACCCTGGCACCACGACCCCCTCGACTCAAACTCAAAGCCAAAAAAGAGCGCATATTGTCCTAGGCATTGTTACTGGTTGGCCGTTGTTCCAGGCACTACCACTGGTTGGCATAGA